GGGGAGGGAGAAGGGACTTGAAATAAGCTTGTTCCCTAACTAGAACTAATAAAATAATAATAATAAAAAACCTTTGTTCTTCATGCATAACATTAAGAGAATGCAAAAGGCAAACTAAAGACTGGGAGAAAATACTCACGAATCATAGATATGTATGTACGTACATCTACATATAAGATACAGCTATACCCATCTATCTAAACATCTCAAAGGACTTACATCCAGAGTATATAAAGAATTTTCATAGCTCTATAGTAAGAAACCACAGCCTGAGGTTTTAGAAAGGCAAAAGCCTTGAGCAAGAGAATTCACCAAAGAAAATATTCAAATGCAAAATAAATTAATTAAAAGATGCTTTAACGTGCTGGGCATTGGTGGCGCATGCCTTTAATCCCAGCATTTGGGAGGCAGAGGCAGTTGGATCTCTGTGAGTTCCAGGCTGGCCTGGTCTCCAGAGCGAGTGCCAGGGTAGGCTCCAAAGCTACACAGAGAAACCCTGTCTTGAAACCCCCACACACACAAAAAAAAAAAATGAAAAAAAAAAGATGCTTAACATTATTAGCTACTAGGAAATGCAAATGAAACCACAACTAGATAGCCACATGCATTTTATGGTTAAAGCCTAAAGTAATGAATCCTACCAAGTACTGGAGCAAATGAAGCAATGGGAATACATAGCTAGCAGTGTGAATTAATGCAGTCACCGTGGAAAGGGTTTGGTTGTTTAACATAAAGTTAAACTTACATCTACATATGACCTAGAAATCCATACCTTAGAGACAGATTTGCACCCACACAAGAATACATGAATGTCTATAGAGGCTCTACAAATAAGAACAAAGGAAATGGAAGCAACCCAAATGCACTCTCTGCTGGTGAATGGATTAACAAACCGTGAAGCGCCGTATTAAATATCATGGAATACTGTTCAGCAACAAAAAGAATCACACTGCTGATACTTTGACAATGTGAATGAATAACAAAAACACTATGCTGAATGACAGAAACCAGATACAAAAGGGTCACACTATATAGTTCTATTTATTTCAAAAGTTCATTTCAATAAGACTAATACTGTATCATTTCAAATGTATTTTTAGTGAATATATTTCACAAATACATTGAAGAATCATGCAATGCTGTCTGCATTGGATGCAAGTCTGGGCCACACTCCTTTGCAACTGGACCTGTGTACAAAGTCTTTATTTGCTTTTATCATATACTGTGACCCCTGCATTATCATCAACATCAACACCCCAACTTTTTAATTTTTTTAAAGATTGATTTATTTATTAAATATACAGTGTTCTGTCTGCATGTTTGCCTACAGGCCAGAAGAGGGCATCAGATCTCATTATAGATGGTTGTGAGCCACCATGTGGTTGCTGGGAATTGAACTCAGGACCTTTGGAAGAGCAGTCAGTGCTCTTAACTGATGAACCATCTCTCCAGCCACAGCACCCCATTTTTTCTATATGACTTTCATTGTCGAGTTACAACTGTTGGATGGGTCTTTTTCCTCCCTCCCTCCCTTCCTTCCTTTCCTCCGTCCCTTCCTTTCTTACTTTTTGGAATCAGGGTTTCTCTGTGTAGCCCTGGAAGTTCTGGATCTAGTTCTATAAACCAGGCTGTCCTCAAACTCACAGAGATCCTTCTGGTTCTGCCTCTTGAGTGCTGGGATTAAAGGCCTGT